AAGTCTTTTTATTTTATATTATTTATTTATTTTACAATGAATAGTTATAAATTAATCAAACTAGTCAAAATCTCTGACTAAAGACAAATTTCAATACTGTACTGAAATTTCTTACTTTGGTACTGGATCCATATTCTATTTTATTGAAATGGCAATTAAAAAGGTTAATCAATAAATTTAAACTAACTTAGTTATTTGTCTTTGATTCTCCCTTGAATTTAAAAAAAAAATATATTTGGCATGTTTGGAGTGACTTTTTAAAAATACTTTTAGAAATTATTTTTTATAAATATTTTTTTAAAAAATAGTGTTTGAAACCGCCCCACCCTCACCCCCACCCCCACCACCCTCACCCTCACCCCCACCACCACTATCTCTACCACCACTGTCGTCATTGCCACCACAACCGTTATTGTCGTCGCCCCCCTCCAACACCACCGTCGCCACCAACACAATCGTTGTCGTTACCCTCGTCGCCACCATCGCTATTGTCGCCGCCGCCATCACCACCACCGTCGTCGCCACTACCCTCGTCACCACAGTCACCGTCTCCATCGCCACCACCACCGTCGCCGCCACCACCATTGCAACCGTTGCAACCATCATCATCGCCACCACGATCATTGTCACCCACTACCACCATCACCATCTCCTACCATCACCACTGTCACCCACCACCTCTCACCCCCCACTATAATCGATGTTTAAATTCATTTATCTCTACTCTATATTTTTGATTTGATTTTAGATATAAATACAAATATTTTTATTATTTTTTATTTTAAATACTCTATACTTTCAAGCACATACAATAACTAGTAGGTTAATATTAGATCATTTGGAGTAAAATAAATCAGCTCCGTTTTGACCTTAATTTTTAGACTTGCTTATAAAAAAGTTTTCTTGACTTACTAAAACATAACGGATTTGACTATTGTACCAAAGAAAAAAATTTTGTATCGTACTTTTATATTTTATTATTTTAATAGGTGTTTTTATCATTTTGGTAAGTTATTTATCATATTTATGAATATTTTTATCACTGTTAAAAATATTTTTCAATATCTTAGACAACTTCAGAAAGAAGGAATTGAACTCAAGAAAAGCTATATAAATCCATTAATTAAAGATGGTAAATATAAATTTAGATATCTTATATTCAAATCTTGGCAATCTCTTGAGATCAGGTAATGAGAGATTTATCTCTTATAAATCTTCTAATTTCGACGTGGATGAGCGAGCTACCTTTGACTGCATCAAAAAAAAAATTATTCGAAATACATACAAGTTAACTTAAATTTCCCTGACCATTAAAAAAAAATAAAAATAAGATGATTGTATTCTGAAAGAGATTGGTGCAGAAAATGAGACTTGAAGCTCAATCAAAACAATAATGATTTAGTGGTGCTTATAAAAAATTAAATGTCTATCGCCACAGGTTTATTAATTGATAAACTCTTATTAAATGTGGAAGATATTGATATCAATAATGTGAGACCAATCACATCCTTGGATTTTTTTATATGTCACCCACCCAACACTAAATCTTTTGAAATTCGAATTTTGTATAAAATAATTCACTACAAGAATAAGAGTTTTTTGTAACAAATTTTTTAGGCAGTTGTGTTTGCAGTCATAAAAGCCATGTTTGAGACAATTTTTTTTGAAAACTGTGTTTGTCGTCACAAAAAACGTGTTTGTATAAATATTTTGTTAATATTTGTGACAACTATTTTTCCTATCGTAAATAGTGTCATAAACTCAAAAAAAAATTTGTATTTAAGACATCTATTTTTCCTACCACAAATAATATTTCATAAACTCAAAGGAATTTTTTATATTTATGGCAGCTATTTTTTCCGCTGTATATAATATTTTATAAAACATTAAAATGTTGTTTTAGATTAAAAAATAGTTTATAGGTTAAAGAAGAAAAACTCTTAAAAAAATTGTATTGACCACAACTATTTTTCATATTACAAGTAATATTTTATAAAATTATATAATTTTACACCAAAAAACAATTTTTAGTTCAAAAAAAAATTAAATTCTACAAAATTAATTTTTTATATCAAAAATAGGGGTGTCGAAATATGACACGACTCGTTAACACGACATAAAATTAGTAGGTTTGAGTCTTCGTTAAGTCACATGTTTAGTAAACGAGTAGATTCGATACGATACGATTATAAACGAATCAAGTATTGGTGAAACCAATTAGAAGAAATATATACGATATGACTCGTTTATATACCATTTATATAATTGAACAAACCGTTTAAAGAAATATTGTGTGACTCTCTATTGATGTATATTTTAACTTCTTTTAGTTCTTTATTGTATATATGTATATAAATATCATTTCAGTATACTAAAAATAATTTAATTTTTTTTTTCATGTCACTGAAAGATTAGATGGTTCGAGAAGGATACTCAACTTTGTGGATTAATTTCTTTTACTTATGAATCATTATATTTTGTAAAAGTGCATATTTTACATTTTATTTAACTCATAAAATTGTTTTTTTTAAATAAAAATATTGCTATGTTTTTAGATTTTGATTAACCCCTAGATTACGTCCTTACCCAATCCTATTATTCAACCATTCACTTGGATTTTGAATGATCTAGGACCACCATTGTTGCAAGTTGCGAAGTATTTCCTTGGGTGCAAAAGAAATAGGGTTGCAACTCGAGTGAGTTGGACAGTCAATTCTAATTCAATTCTAAGTATATAATTTTTAATTCTAATCTTAACCCTAATCCTATCTCGGGTTGAGAAACTCAATCCGAGTACTATTCGAGTTTAATTCGTGCAGATTCGGATTGATTTTGGATTATTTTATCAGCTGATTTCGGGTTAATTCAATCAAATTTTTAACATAAAAATCATAATATTAAGAACTCAATGTTTAAGATAAGACAACCACATCCATATAGAATACAAATAAACACAAATAGAATATTTACACAAATATAGAGTTTATTGCTCAAACATAGATATCCGTACTTAAACAAAATTCTTACACAATCAGAATCCTTGACAGAGACTAAGAGTGAACGAAGGTCTGAGGGAGACGCACACTTGAGTTGCAATTAACCCTAGGATAAAATTATATTTATATAGTATTAAATCGAGGTTGAACCCGATGACTCAACCTTAGACCCGTCCAAATTGAATTCAGATTAAGGTTTTTTGATTCAAACTCAATTCAAGTATTAAAAATTTTAGTCCAAATCTTATTTTTTTTTAAATTAAACGCGGGTTAAGATCGTGTTAGCTCACTCAAGTTGCACCCTAAAAAGAAGTAAATATGAGCACCTTCCGTGAAGGAGACCTACACGAAATTGGCACAATAGGAATGGGACCATCACACTGCAATAATATTGGTGGGTAATCGGAGTGGTGCCCACCAATATTTGGTGGGGTATTGACTTTATGTAAGACTTATCCAAAACAGCATTGTTCATTTGTCTAGGACCAATGAATCCGTATTGCACCCGCAATTAAGTCCTCTTTGTTCCTTCTTCACCAATTCATCGCCTGCGATTTAACTAGCTTTTTAATTTTATTCCTTTGTGGATAAATTACTTTCAAATTCATTACAAAATTTTTTAAAAAAATTCGTACAAAATAAATCATAATATATGTTTAAAGAAAGTAAAAGTTACCCAAAATGACAAAACAACTTAGAATTTTCGAAGAAATAGTCTGCTATATGGAGAAAAATTTGAAGAAATCAACCCAAATAGAGGAAGAAAAACTTTAGGGTTTATACCAAAATATTAAAAAAAAACTGAGGATTAGTGGCAAGAGTCAAAGGCCGGAATTGAGTTAGAGGAGATTTAAGGAGATAAGACATTCTAATAAAAGATCTCGAAAAGTGAAAAGATGTGTAAAACTTGATCGATATTGTCGGTTACAAGTGATTTTGATGCATATTTATAGTTGTTAAGAGTAAGAGGCCATGAACACTTGCTTAATTACTAGAAAAGATGGCTTCAATGATTGGAAGTTAACGTCTATAAATATAGAGAATCAGACAACAGAGAAGAAATTCGCGATTAATACTCCTATAAAAACAACATATCAGAATCCTTCTTTGCACTATTTAGTTTACACTTTTATTTTACTCTATAATTTTGTCGTCACTCCGACGAGTTCTTACTGTTTTAATTCCAGCACAGTAGTTTATACATTAATTCTGCCTTGTTATTTTAATTATTGTTTGCTCCAATTCTATTTAGCTCTTTTTTACTTTCCAATTCGGTTGCCTCCTCTTAGGGAATAGTTTAAGTCTTTAATTTACAAAGCATAAAAAGAATTTAGAAATAGTCTTATATTTCGTTTCAATCGTCTAAACATTCATGACTTCAGAATTTTACATCCATTTGAATACATAAAGTCGTAGTGATTTGAGTTATTAAGTTAATTTTAACTTTGGTACACTTGTTAAATACGCCAAAACAAGCACCAACAAAGGTTAAAGTGGTAGTAATAATTTTTTGACATTTAAGTTACAACTCTAGGTATTAATCGATTCTCAAATATCATGATCAATATTAAAATTATGATTTTTAAAAATCATCAACTTTAAAACAAATAATTTTCCATACCGATTTTTTTTATGAGACGTTAGTACTATTTTTATTATTTTGAATAGTTTATATATAAAAAGACGATAAGTGAAATTCGAGCACACGATTTTGAAGTCATGCATTCTCACCTTAGTGCTATTATGGAAACGCTCAATTGTAGAAAATTAAGAATGCCATTACATGATCGGCAGCAAAACCTCTGCCATGGTGACAAACAAATATTGCTGCTGTAAGGCCAATGACGTCATCCCAACCCAGCTCTCTCATCCCTCATTTCCACCACGTGACTGAAAACCCACCCCCTCTTTCTCCCACTTGCAAGATATAGAACTTTCAAAGAAGCTCAATCCTCCCTACAAAAGTCCAAAGACATCAAACTCATTTTGAACAAAAGGTAAAAGATTTCAACTAAGTTCATGAACCTCTTCACCGACTCAGCATCTATTTAATCCCCACACCATCTTTTCCCTCAAAGATCGAAGCTTTCTCTCCCCTCTCAGTTCGATTCAGCTTAAACTGTAAACAACCCACAACTGAATTTGAGCTTATTTGTTTTGATTTCAATATGATGATGTATGAAAATGGTGGTTTTGAATCTTTTGTTTCTGATTTAGCACTTTTGGACTCAATAAGTCGTTACTTGCTCGATGATTCTGAAGCTTTACCCACAAATTCCGGCGACTCTCCGGAAGTATATTGCTCGAGCAATAGCTTCGGTTCCAATTTGTCCCCGTCCTTGACTGAAAACTGGGGACATGGTAGTTTACCTCTTCAAGAAAATGACCCCGACGACATGGTGGTTTATGGCGTCCTTTGCGACGCTGTCAACTTTGGATGGCTGCCATCTGTCTCCGCCACCGCAACCGTCAAGACCGAGCCCGAAATTGTTGCTGAATCGCCGGGAAAAATAGAGTTTCCAGCGGTGGCGGTACCTGAGAGGGTGGCGACGGAGATGTTGGAGCCGGCGGTAGTGCCGTCGAAGGGAAAGCATTACAGAGGGGTGAGGCGGCGGCCGTGGGGGAAGTTCGCGGCGGAGATAAGGGATCCGGCGAAGAATGGGGCCAGGGTGTGGCTCGGGACTTTTGAGACCGCGGAGGATGCGGCGTTGGCCTATGACAGGGCGGCGTACCGCATGCGGGGGTCACGTGCGCTGTTGAACTTTCCGCTTAGGATTAACACCGGCGAGCCGGAGCCGGTGAGAGTGACATCGAAAAGGTCGCCGACGTCGACGGATGGTTCATCGTCGTCGGAAAGTGGGTCGCCGAAGAGGAGGAAGAGGGTGGTGGGTTGAAAAAAGTAATGATACATTAATCAAATTTTTGGGATCAAATTTAGAGCCTAAATGACATGACAACATATTATTTTGAGTTTTTATTAGGTCCAAACGACATGACACTAAAAAAAAAAAATTAAGTCACCTTTCATGTCATTTAGACTTCAAATTTAATCCCAAAATTTGATCAATTTAACATTCTTCGGATTGAAAATAGGTAACAGTTTTGGGCTACTGAACGAGGAGTATAGAAGCTGTACATTTGGACTTGGGCTTTTCCATGATTCTGCAAACTTTGAACCCAAAAAACAAAAGAAAGAAGAAAAATGAGGGGCTGTACAGGAATTATATAGATAAATGATCAGTTGGAGTTTTGATGATTTCTATTTTTTAAATTTTGTAATTGGATTATTAGTGGTTTCAGGGAATTTTATCATTTTGGGTGTCGTGGGATTCAATTCGAAATGACTACATTTGAAAGCATATTATTTTTTTTTATAGAATAAATTACACATATAATCTTTAAACTATGACATTTGTATCAATTAAATCTCTAATTTTTTTTTTTGTTTCAATCGAACCTATGAGCTTTTTAATTGTATCAATTGAGCCCAAAAGCAAAGAAGTATGTCACTTACGTGACACAAATGAGTTAAACTAATCTACACATATAATCTTTAAACAACGGCTCGTGCGCTAATTAAATTGCTAAATTTTTTTTTGTGATCTTCTACTTCAAAACTTATGATTTCTAACGATTTTAAAGTTAGGAAAAATTTCAACTACATTCTCTCTAGTTTATAATATCTTCAAAAACGTTCTTACTATTTTTTGAATCTTCACTGACATTCTCTATCAGATTAAAAATATTAACTAGAATGTAAATTTACTAAATTATCCATGATATATTTGAGAACAAACTTCATCCACACCCCTTCTAGATAAGCACATCTTTAATGAGACTCCTTTTGTGTTCTAATTTTTTTTACGTATTAAAATTCAGACTGATTAAAATTCGATTCAATCTAATTAATTTTTTTTTACATATTACAACTTGAGTCGACTAAAAATTATATTTTTATGTATTAAAATTTGGACTAATTAAAATTCTATTTGAGCCAATTAAAACTTATTTTTAGCCGACTCAAATCAAGTTTTAATCAACTCTCACTGAATTTTAATCAACGCAAATTTTAATACATAAAAAAATATAAATTTTAATAAATTGTATTTTAATTGACACGAATTTTAATGAGTAAAAAAATATAAATTTTAGTCAACTTGAAAGCGAATTTAAATCGGCGTTAACAACTTGGATAGAGTTCAAATCACCTCAAATTTTAGTACGTAAAAAAAATTTAATAGACTCGAATTTTAATAAGTTAAAAAAAAAATTAATCAGCTTCAATCGAATTTTAATTACTACAAATTTTAATATGTAGAAAAATAAATTTTAATCAGTTCAAATTTTAATAAAATTTTATATAGAAAAATTACTTGAGGTTTATGTATGGACATTTTTGGTATTTTAGATGAATTTTTTTTTGTTAAAAATGATAGTTTACTAGTAAGAAGTGTTAGTGATGTTTAAATATAAACTAGAAGAGGTGTCGGTAATATTTTTTAGATGTCCTTGAAGATATAATAAACGAGGAAAGATGTGGCTGAAATTTTCCCTTAAAGTTGTTGTAATTTCTGATATTACGTCTTTGATATTCTGCATCTTAAATTTTCTGTGTGTCTCATAATCTTTTATTCTTGACCAACAACAACCAAAAAAAAAAAAAGATAAAAATCTTTTATTTGTTGTTAATCTACGTTTGGATCGCCTAACTAATTTTTTTCTTATTTTTTCTTTTTTTCTATAAATACTCATATTATCCTTGAATATACAAAATCATTAAAATAGTTTTTGAATCATAAGCATCTTAAAAATAGCTCTACTCATACACCAAATTGGGTAACTTAATTTTAACCCGAGTTTGTCCGAAATTAACTCGGACAATACTTAAGTTGAGTATTTCGAATTGAGTCAGATTAGAGTTAAAAATTTTATACATAGAATTAGACTAGAGTTGATCCCTCGATCCACTCAAGTTGCACTCATAATCTCCACCTGTCACACCCTAACTAACTTGGGTGCAAATAGTCGATCTTGGTGGCACTTTGCACTAAGGTCTGTCATAAGTTAGAATCAAGGTGATACGACTAAGTGGTTTGACAGATTGGGGCGAACCAAGGCAATATGAGAACACCCGATTGAGCATGGCAGGACGTGGTGGGCTCAATTGAAGCAACGTGAGTGCATAACTTTGGATTGCATGACATGGGTTGAACCCAGTATGTAAATTAGTTCGTGAAGCAAGATTGACTACTGAATGTGGGCACATAACTAACACATGATTGCTTAATGCATGTGACTAGGAGGATGTGAACAGTTACAAATGCTGAAACACAGTCAAGACAGTTGTTGAGGCAATTCTGGCCGTCCCTAGTCTGAATTCAGTCCAGATGCATGCTGATGAAGGACAGTTCCACATCAATTACTGAAAAGGATAGAACTGTCTGCCGGGTGTCGCACAGAAATCAAGTCCTGCTAGTCAAGTATGCTATGAAATAACAAAAAACGTGTGTAGCTATCCCTGACAGATGGGGGTGTCATCTGTCTTACCCTGTATAAATAGGGGTGCTTGAGCATTCTGATAGGCAGAAGAGTATTTTGGATTGAGAGTTCTTGTAAATTGTTGAGTTCAATATATAAAGTTTGGGAGTTTTGT